CTTTATTATACCTATTCATTCTCTATTATTGTTTTCACTTATCCTCAATTATGTTTAATTAGCAATTAAGTGCTTTTTACCTTCCTTATGTATAGCTTTTTATTCCAAAAAGTAAATATTTATACAAATGATATAAAAAATTATTTATGACATTGCTTCTTGTCCATATATCCACAGATACTCATAAATCATAAAAATAAGTTGTTCTAGCATGTATTCACCACTAGGAGAATACATAGACCAACACAAAAGAACACATTTTTAAACATTGCTATATTTTGGGCTAATTTAACTAACATAAACAATATTTGTAATTTTTTATTTTGGAGTTGTAATATTTAGTTTTATAGTTTAGCCAAATTGATTGACAGGCGATCTGACAGAATTATACTAAAAACATTTACACCTCAAAAGACAAAGGCGAGCACACTTTATCATTTTTTTATTTAAAAATTGTTTAGCCTAAATGTTTTTGCAGATGCATAAAAACATTTTTTTGTATCAACAGCTGCAGAAAACCCAGAAGAGAATTAACATTTTAGAGCCAGGGTTTCTCTTTCAATTCTTCCATGGTTTTTAACCTCACACATAAAAAACATAACCTTTGATTTTCATTCATGTGCTGTAACTAAAAGAGATAATGGCTCAGTTCACATGCTGCTTGAACTGTTGCTCTAGAGTCACCAAACTGTTGGTGTATTTAGTGTTTGAACTTTTTGACAATTTTTAAGCTGACACTTTGTTTTATACTAAGTATTGCTTTGTTCCGCAATGTATTTTCACTGTATGAAATGTGACTTGTCGGACATAGCAAAAGTAGGCTTTGTTTTTGCGAAAGGTCAGTTGTCATTTGTGGACAACTTATTTACAGACGAGGGGAAACCAAAGAGTGTTTAGCACCTGCAGGAAAAGCAAGGAATCATGTATGAACATTTATTGAAATTGTTCTAAAAAATATTTTTTTAAAATGTAAATGAAGGCATTACAAGTTTTTTATTACATGTTGAATAACTGACTGTACGTTTTACTTCCAGTTTTCCAGCCGCTTTAGTACATTTCTCAGAACACAGCTGAAATTCTCAAAACTATGTTTAACCTTCACATCATCTAGCCACTTGTTTGTGAATAGTGATGGTTGAGTTAGATTAGAAGTTTTGTTTTTGTTCTTAGTAAGATTAGTTATGTTTTATTTCTTTCTTTTTTTTGGCACGGTCTCATTCTTCTCTCTTTTCCCCGTTTATTTTGTGAACCTTTTTACTTGGTTATGAAGTGTATATAATTTGTAAATTTATGTAAATAATATCCTGGGCTAACTTTTGTCACTGTAATAAACAGACACTTTGCCGAATTCAGAATGTTTTACGTGTGATTGTTTTCCAGTACACGTCCCGTGTTTTGATGTTGCACCCCTTATTTCCCCTAGATTTAAAAGGGTTTGTAACAGCCATCAATAAAAAAGTTCACAGATTATGTAAAATTCAATGGAGGTTGACCAATCTTTGAACTATGTTCTTATCTGCATGTTTCATCCATGAGAACGCAAAGTTGGAGAACAAGCTTTTGGGGATTTAGAGAACCAGAAGCAAGCTGATTGAGCAAGCTCAACTTTAGCTGCATTGTGAGATTCTTTTCTATTAATATGCCTGGAGGTGAAAAATAATACAGAAATTGTCCAATTCACTTGATCTAAATAATTTAAATTACAATGAGGTGCAAATTAGTCGTGTGTGTATATAGGCATGAAAACAGTCCAGTACTTATAAGTCAAACTTATTTTTATGTTGAAATGATAAACAGATTTCTGTGCTACCCCAGACTGGTTTCTGGCCCCTGCCTGGCCAGAATAATTCCCTTTTAGTGCATTAATGCAGAGGTCCCCAACCACTGGGTCACAACCCAGTACCGGGCCGTAGAAGCATTGCTAATGGGTTGCAAGAACGTTCTGGAAATGTGTAAACATCTATAACACCAACCATAACTAATAAGACTTGACTAATCTTATCATGATGCAATACAAATTCAGATGCTGACCGTTACACTTCATTATAGCAGATGATTGATGGATATTAGACGGAAGAGATCAAGATTGCATGTAACTCATTTGTATGCTCACACAAATTTCAAGAGAAAAGCCATTTGTGTGATGACGTGTTCATACAGATCAGGGGTTCCCAACCACATTCCTGGAGCCACCTACACAGCATGTTTTCAATGTCTCCTTAATCAAACACACCTGATTCAGAGCATCAGCTCACTAGACTCTAGGAACGTGGATGGGAACTACCTGTATCCTGAAGACATTGATTAGCTTGTTCGGGTGTGTTTGATTTGGAGCTAAACTCTGCAGGATCAGTGTCCCCCACCCCTGGTTTAAGCAGAGCGCTCTAAACACCAATATATCTAAATCATTACAAGTTTTTTATTACATGTTGAATAACTGACTGTACGTTTTACTTCCAGTTTTCCAGCCGCTTTAGTACATTTCTCAGAACACAGCTGAAATTCTCAAAACTATGTTTAACCTTCACATCATCTAGCCACTTGTTTGTGAATAGTGATGGTTGAGTTAGATTAGAAGTTTTGTTTTTGTTCTTAGTAAGATTAGTTATGTTTTATTTCTTTCTTTTTTTTGGCACGGTCTCATTCTTCTCTCTTTTCCCCGTTTATTTTGTGAACCTTTTTACTTGGTTATGAAGTGTATATAATTTGTAAATTTATGTAAATAATATCCTGGGCTAACTTTTGTCACTGTAATAAACAGACACTTTGCCGAATTCAGAATGTTTTACGTGTGATTGTTTTCCAGTACACGTCCCGTGTTTTGATGTTGCACCCCTTATTTCCCCTAGATTTAAAAGGGTTTGTAACAGCCATCAATAAAAAAGTTCACAGATTATGTAAAATTCAATGGAGGTTGACCAATCTTTGAACTATGTTCTTATCTGCATGTTTCATCCATGAGAACGCAAAGTTGGAGAACAAGGTTTTGGGGATTTAGAGAACCAGAAGCAAGCTGATTGAGCAAGCTCAACTTTAGCTGCATTGTGAGATTCTTTTCTATTAATATGCCTGGAGGTGAAAAATAATACAGAAATTGTCCAATTCACTTGATCTAAATAATTTAAATTACAATGAGGTGCAAATTAGTCGTGTGTGTATATAGGCATGAAAACAGTCCAGTACTTAGAAGTCAAACTTATTTTTATGTTGAAATGATAAACAGATTTCTGTGCTACCCCAGACTGGTTTCTGGCCCCTGCCTGGCCAGAATAATTCCCTTTTAGTGCATTAATGCAGAGGTCCCCAACCACTGGGTCACAACCCAGTACCGGGCCGTAGAAGCATTGCTAATGGGTTGCAAGAACGTTCTGGAAATGTGTAAACATCTATAACACCAACCATAACTAATAAGACTTGACTAATCTTATCATGATGCAATACAAATTCAGATGCTGACCGTTACACTTCATTATAGCAGATGATTGATGGATATTAGACGGAAGAGATCAAGATTGCATGTAACTCATTTGTATGCTCACACAAATTTCAAGAGAAAAGCCATTTGTGTGATGACGTGTTCATACAGATCAGGGGTTCCCAACCACATTCCTGGAGCCACCTACACAGCATGTTTTCAATGTCTCCTTAATCAAACACACCTGATTCAGATCATCAGCTCACTAGACTCTAGGAACGTGGATGGGAACTACCTGTATCCTGAAGACATTGATTAGCTTGTTCAGGTGTGTTTGATTTGGAGCTAAACTCTGCAGGATCAGTGTCCCCCACCCCTGGTTTAAGCAGAGCGCTCTAAACACCAATATATCTAAATCCTTCTTATTCTCAGCCTCCTAATCACAAATATCTTCCTACAGAAATCAAATGAAATGTGAAAATGAAGGGTACACTAAGACAATCATGTGTTCACTGGCATTTAATGTTTGTACAGAAGAATCAGCCTTTCAGCTGATAAACCGCAATGTACCACGATGGCAAACAAGAAATAATGTAGCAACATATTTACATGGCAACACAACAAGAGTTCATTCACAGTTCCAGCAGAAACAAACATAACATGCAGTGCAGCTGTACATGTGTGTGTTTCACTCTGACATCCTCAAGGGAAGGAAAAGGCTTTTCTCTTCAACAAAAACACTGGCCTGTTTAAAGCTGAACTCATATACAGACAGGCAAAACTGATGCTAGATAAATAATACTCTCAACAAGAACTAGTAATCACTATCAAGAGTCAGTTCACTGTGTGAAGCGATATTATGTTATGTGTTTTACAGAAATCTGTTCACTGTAAAGGGATAGTTCATCCCAAAACGAACATTTTATCATTATTTACTCACACTCATGTTGTTTCAGACCTTTATTTTTTATATTTACAACACTAAATAAGACATTTTTAAGAATGTTTATGCAATTTTTTCCATGTTACAGGTCATTGTGACTGGTGTTGTTTTTGGCGGCCTGTTTTAATTTGAGTTTTAGTCTAGTCTTTGTGTGAAACTGTCATTTTAGTTTTTATTAGTTTTAGTCACATTCATACTCTTTTTAGTCTAGTCTAGTTTTAGTCGACGAAAACTGATGACATTTAGTCTATGAAAATTGTATTTTAGTCTCTTTTTAGAAATGCAATTCTATTGAACCCAGTCAATATACAGTGGGTACAGAAAGTATTCAGACCCCCTTAAATTTTTCACTCTTTGTTATATTGCA